GCTATATTCTATTCTATTACATTATATTATTTTATATTATATTATATTATTTTATATTTTATTATATTATATTATATTTTTTATATTATTTTATATTATATTATATTATATATTTTTATATTATTTTATATTATATTACATTATATTATATTATTTTATTTTACATTATGCTATATTCTATTCTATTATTTTATATTTTATTATATTATATTATTTTATATTATTTTGTATTATATTATATTTTTTTATATTATATTATATTATTTCATATTACATTATATTATATTATATTATATTATTTACAGTCAAGCCTAAAGTTTCAGTCTTGACTGTAATAGTAATAATAGTTTTTGTCATATTTTGTTTCAATATATTTGTATTCATTATATTTATACTTGTTTTGCTGTCAGACTGTCAGTCAGTCTGATTATTCTATCATTCATTCTATTTATTGTATGTATGTTCTTTCTATCGATCTTTCGTTCTATTTACTGTTCGTTCTGTCATTCGTTCTATTGTTGGTTTATTTGTTCGATCTATTGTTTGTTCTTTTGTTCTGTTGTTTCTTCTATTTACTGTTTGTTCTATTGTTCGTTCTATTGTTTGTTTGTTTCATCTGTTGTTAGTTTATTCTATTGTTTGTTTGTTTGTTTGTTCTATTGTTTATACTATCATTTTTTTTATCTTTTGTTCATTTTATTGTTCTATTTTTTGTTTGTTCATTATAATCAGGGCTTGACATTAACACCTACCAACCCGCCAAATGCGGGTAAATTTCAGCTGTGTTCAGCTGTTAGACAGACACTCCCACTAGCCAATTTGGCTGGTTGGAAATAATTTTTAAATTGTAGATTTCTTAAAAGCAGGGTTCGACAATAAAGATGTCCCAATATTTGTGCAATTGTGATCTTAGAGTTCCCGCAAGCAAAAGAAAGCAGGTGAATACCGAATAAGAGGATGATCACTAGCGCACACAGGTGATTTGATGCATGCGACTGTTAAGAAACGTGCACGCTTCCATTTACTTGTGCGAAGTAACCGTGCCTAGGAGAAATGCTATCTATCTATCTACGATCTATCCATGATTCGTCTGAACTGAAAATCCATCAAATCTAAACTTTTCTTCACAGGCGATGTTTTGTACTGGTTTGGCGTCTCAGGGTAGTGTTTGATCTCCTGGGGTCTGTACGTTTAAAACACAAAGACTGTTTGTTTCTGTTGAGACGAGCCTTTGACTGTAGATGTGGTGGGGGGTGCATTTCACACAGCCACAGACTTCCTTACGCAGAAGATGCAAAACACAAGCGCTACAGTGAGCTGATGTGTTTTTGAGTAGGACGTTAGTTTGCATCGAGAAGGAAAGCACCTACAACATTAAGAGCGAGTTTGATTTCCACCATCTGTCAGGAAAAGCCCACAGAGCCTTTATAAAATTAGAATCAGCCACTTTCGTTCTCTGTCATCGAAAACGACACCTGTGTTTATATTTACAAACCTCAGTGAGGTGCAAAAGTTGAAATTCAGATAAAAACAGAGCATGGTTATATTATATTACACATTGTAAAATAATAGCACAGGCTTGTTTGAGGAGCTTGCAATATTCATAGTCTAATAATTCTGTGATTGGTGGTTTAACGTTTATTTTTTTAATGACACTCGCTTCACTAAACAAACTAAAACACATGTTTAGAGTGCAAAAGCACTTGCTGGATTGCAGTTAAAATAATCCTGTAATATAAATGATAAAAGCAAAAAGTATGTAATGTAATGTGTATTTATATAGCACATTTATTGTGTATGGCCATACACCCAAAGCGCTTCACAATCATGAGGGGGGGTCTCTCTACACCACCACCAGTGTGCAGCATACACTTGGATATTGCAAAGGCAGCCACAGGACAACGGCGCCAGTGCGCTCACCACACACCAGCTATTGGTGGAGTAGAGAGACAGTGATAGAGCCTATTCGGTGGATAGGGATGATTAAGAGACCATGATGGGCCTATAGAGAGACTTTGGCCAGGACACCGGGGTTACACCCCTACTCTTTCACGAGAAGTGCCATGGGATTTTTAATGACCACAGAGAGTCAGTACCTCGGTTTAACGTCTCATCCGAAAGACAGCGCCCATTGACAGTTTAGTGTCCCCTTCACTTTTACTGGGGCATTAGGACAGATCACAGGTTGAGCGCCCCCTGCTGGCCGCTCTAACACCACTTCCAACAGCAACCTAGCTTTCCCATGTAGTCTCCCATCCAGGTACTGGCCAGGCTCAGCCCTGCTTAGCTTCAGTGAGTAACAGGTCTTGGGCTGTGGGTTGATATAAAAAGTATGTCTGTTTGAGTTTCTGGTTTTCTATTTTTAGCATAGGATGATACAGTTAAAGACTTCATTATTAGCCTTCCTGTAAAATTTTAAATAAAAAATGTCCCAAGTGCTGTTAAATGGAGAAACGTTTTTTCAACACTATTTTAAGCATAATAGTTTCAATAACTAATTTCTAATAACTAATTTCTTTGCCATGATGACAGCACATAATATTTTACTAGTTATTTTGGAAGATACTTAATTGGTTAAGTAGCTTAATTGGGTTAGTTTGTAAGTTTGTGGTTTGTTCTGTGGCCAATCTGAAAAAAATTCTTAGGGGTGATAAAAATATTTATGTTATTTAAATCAATAACTGCAGGCGAAGCAGTGGCGCAGTAGGTAGTGCTGTCGCCTCACAGCAAGAAGGTCACTGGGTCGCTGGTTCGAGCCTCGGCTCAGTTGGCATTTCTGTGTGGAGTTTGCATGTTCTCCCTGTGTTCAAGTGGGTTTCCTTCGAGTGCTCTGGTTTCCCCCACAGTCCAAAGACATGCAGTACAGGTGAATTGGGTAGGCTAAATTGTCCGTAGTGTATGAGTGTTTTACTTTGTAAAAACTTGCTGGATGAGTTGGCGGTTCATTCCGCTGTAGCGACCCCAGATAAATAAATCTTAGAGCAACACTGTGCTTTTCCTGAATTAATCTGTTTTTAAGTTAATAATTTCAGCCAATAATTTAGTGACATATTTAAATATTCAGTCACTTGCTTTATTTTTATTTAAATTAGCCGTATCGACTATTATTGATCCACACCAGGCCTAAGCCAAAATAAACAAAAACACTCTCCAAACTATCCTGTAATTTTCTGTATAGAAAAAATCTGTTTTTTGGTCAGTGTTGCACACTACTGTGTTGATTTTCACCAAATAGTGTGTTTTCAACCTTTTAGGACCCTTTTTTGATATAACGAAAGGTTGCTTTTATTCACAGAAATGAACAGTGGCACCTTGACAATATATTAAAACATTGTCTTGAAAACAATAATATGCCTAAAATATTACACTAATTGCATAAAGTACTCTTTATAGCAGATGGAGTGTAAATCAAGGGTAATTTTTAAGCTAGCTTTACCTCAAAAGCAACTACTGTATTTTATAGCTAATGTTACATGTATATGGGCGGCACAGTGGCTCAGTGGTCTGTCTGGTCAGAAGGTCGCTGGTTCAAGTCCTGACTGGACCAGTTGGCATTTCTGTGTGGAGTTTGCATGTTTTCCCCGTTTTGGCATGGGTTTCCTCCTGGTATTCCAGATTCCCCCACTGTCCAAAGACATGTGCTATAGGTAAATTGAATAAACTAAATTGTCTGTGCGCGTGAATGTGAGAGTGGGTGTTTCTCAGTACATATGCTGGAATAGTTGCCAGTTCATTCTGCTTTAGCGACACCTGATAAGTTTAAGTTTTAACAATACAATCATATTAATACCCATAACACTACACCATAATAGTACATTAATAAACAAAAGAAATTTAAATAAGAAGAAAATAAATAATGCTACTTATAAAATAATTATAAAAACAGGGCACAGAAGCAAAATGATCAAATTAAATAATATTTACAAAATCCTTTCACAGAAAATATCAGTTTTTACACTTTTTTTTTTTTTTACTAAAAACATTTTAATGCAGTAATTAAACAATTTAAGTCACAAAGAAAGTTCTACAAATTAGGCAATGATGAAGAAAATTTACATTTGTGCAGAGATGCAAAACTAGGGCCAGTGGACCAAAGTTCCACTGGATCCCATCTGAGAGGAGAGGGAGAATGATGGGATGGTTTAGGTATTGTCATTTTAAATTTAATGTAACCTTTTATTTGTTTGTTTTATTGTTAAGCTACACCAAAAAAAGTTAGCTTTAATTAAATGTTTCAATTTAAATGCTGTAGTTTTAGTTTAAAATGTACATACGGTCACATGACGGATAGAAGACAATGCAGAGACTTTGCAGAGCAAATCAAGGCAAAGGTAAATTCTGCTTGACTAGTGTATCCAGCACTGAACTCCACTGTGTTATAAATGTGATTGTTTATGTTTTTATTGCAGTAAGGTGTCATTACTGCATTAGTTAATACGGATCAAAATTATGTTTCCTTAAATATTATAAAATAAATTAGGAAATTATCTGTAGCAGCTGTAATGTAATATAGTTTGGTATATATTTATCTTCGACCTACGGCTCTCAATGATATTTGGGTTTAGGCCCTTCGTACGGTAAAGTTTTGGCACCCCTGCATTTGTGAATATAATATTTATCCATCAATGTAAATTATTTGTCTATAAAATCTATGTTATGTCTATCATGAAAAACGTTACGAATTATATCACACATGGCAAAATCAATGTTAAACTTACATTTTAATGTAAAAAATAAATAAATAAATAAATCAGACCAAAACACTTTAACATGGGCATTTGACAAAAACATGATCAATCGGTTTGACACTTTAGCTACGAAAGATACAATTTAAATTGGGAATATCAGATTTAGACACAATCTCGGTTGTATTTACAGTAAATGTTCACTGTTACAGTCATCACGAGCAAATGATCTCATCACACTGAAGTGTTCATGCCATCGTGTGGTCCTGAAGTGAACTGCATGCTAGGTTTGACTGATCTCTCTGTTGTTTTCAGCGGTGTATATCCTAATCGGAGCAGGTGGGATCATGATGATAGTGGGCTTTTTCGGCTGTTTCGGGGCCGTGAGGGAGTCACAGTGTCTTCTGGGATCGGTGGGTAAGAACTGTGCAACAGGAAATCAACAAACACACCAAACCCACCTCTTTGATGATTCTCATCTGCTGCTTACTCCAAGACTAAATATTGTGTCTGCTCACTTTTGTTATTTATACAACAACACATCTGCCCATAAGAAACTTTTGGATAACACTGATGCATTTAAAGTCAACATGAACTCAGAATTGATCATTTACTTTATAATACATGTAACACCTAACTCTCCTGTATGACCCTAAATGTATGATGTTTAACAGAGCAAGGACGTTTTCACAGTATTTTCTATAATATTTCTTTCTTCTGGGGGAAGGCTTTTTTTGTTGTTTGGCTGAAATAAAAGCAGTTAAAACTTTAAATCAATTTTAAAGTTATTATTATTATTAGCTCTTATAGGAAATTTAACTAAATTTAACTATTTAAAACTATTATGTTTAATAATGTGTTGAAACAGGACAGGAAAGCTATTAATTTTGCCTTAAACTATATATATAGTTATATGATCAAAAGTGCCCCTGCGACGCGACACACACTTCGTCCCGCCCTTCAGCAGTCGCACGACAACACTGATCTTGAGTACGTGTGCTCAACCCCCTCCCCCGCTTTACAGTACGTGCGCAACAACACAGCTGATTAGAATGCGCGCGACAACACCCCCTGTGATGTGATGCTGCAAATTTTGCAGTTGAAACTGAAAAACTAAAGTCTCTTTCCTTCCGTGTTCAGTTCTTCGCTTGTCTCTTGTTGATCTTTGGCGCAGAAGTCGCTGCTGGAGTCTTTGGCTTTCTCAATAAAGATCAGGTATTTAACACATTGTATTTCTCGGTTCATTGAGCATAACTATGAAGTTAACTGATCCTCACTCGTGTGTTTATAGATCATTAAAGAGGTCCAAAACTACTATGAGTCAGCTACAAAGATGGAGAACGGAACTGTTATCACCTCTGCGTTTCACTCTGTGGTGAGTCGAGCATTGGTGTTTCTAGATTAATGTTATTAATGAAAATCATCTGTACCCATAATAATGTTTATTCTTGTTTTACAGCTGGATTGCTGCGGGACCGAATCTTCTCCGATTGAGACGTGCACTGAAGGCAATAAAGTATGTTCAAGTTTATTTTATTGCGGTAAAATCCCACCAATCGTGATTGTTCATGGCCAATTCTGATTTTACAAGCACTGTGACTCAGTGGTTAGCACTGTCGCCTTACAGCAAGAAGGTTACTGGGCCAGTTGGCATTATAGTGTGGAGTTTGCATGTTCTCTCCGTGTTCATGTGGGTTTCTTGGTTTTGAGAAAGCGAGAGTGTATGGGTGTTTACCATTTACCAGTACTGAGTTACAGCTGGAAAGGAATCTGCTGTGTAATCATGCTGAAATAGTTGGTGGTTCATTCCACTGTGGTGACCCCTGATAAATAAGGGACTAAGCTGAAGAAAAATGAATGAATGTTCCAGACCTTTGACATTGATACATTCAGATTTTGGCCTTTGAATTGAGACTTTGAGAAGCTCCATAGCAGCGCTGCTGCTGTGTGGGTTTAAATGCATCAATGTATTTATATGTATGCGTGTGATGTTTTTGATAGAAGCCTCTTCACCTAGCTAGCATTTGATATCCAGAAATATAAATACATTGAAATATAACAGGTTTTGATCAGACCTCATATGAAATTGTAACTTAAATATTTCCAAAGCTGCTGGTTAGTAGAGAGATTTTTAACACGTAACTGATTTCTTTTCTCTTTGCCATGATGACAGTACTTAATAATTTACTAGAGATTTTTCAAGATACTAGTATTCAGCTTAAAATGACATTTAAAGGTTTTATATACTGTATGTAATGTAAACTACACTCACTGGCCACTTTATTGGGTACACCTTACTAGTACTGGATTGGACCTACTTTTGCATTTAGAACTGCCTTAATCCTTCATGGCATAGATTCAACAAGGTACTGGAAGCATTCCTCAGATTTTGGTCCATATTGACTTGATCGCATCACACAGTTGCTGCAAATTTGTCAGCTGCACATCCATAATGTGAATCTCTTGTTCCACCACATCCCAAATGTGCTCTATTTAATTGAAAAGTGGGGACTGTGGAGGCCATTTAAGTACAGTGAACTCATTTTCATGTTTACGAAACCAGTCTGAGATGATTCATGTTTTATGACATGGTGCATTATCCTGCTGGAAGTAGCCATCAGAAGATGGGTACACTGTGGTGTAGGGGGATGGACATGGTCAGCAACAAAACTCAGGTATTCTGTGGCGTTGACACGATGCTCAATTGGTACTAATGGGCCCAAAGTGAGCAAAGAAAATATCCCCCACACCTTTACACCACCACCACCAACCTGAACCGTTGTTGCATGTTGTTGGCGCCAACTTCTGACCCTACCATCTGAATGGGTCAGCAGAAATCGAGACTCATCAGACCAGGCAACGTTTTTGCCAATCTTCTATTGTCCAATTTTGGTGAGCCTGTGCAAATTGTAGCCTCAATTTCCTGTTCTTAGCTGATCTTCTGCTGCTGTAGCCCATCCGCCTCAAGGTTGGACATGTTGTGCATTCAGAGATGCTCTTCTGCAGACCTTGTTTGTAATGAGTGATTATTTGAGTTATTGTTGTCTTTCTGTTAGCTTGAACCAGTCTGGCCAGTCTCTCCTGACCTCTGGCATCAACAAGGCATTTTGCTTCCACAGAACTTCCGCTCACTGGATATTTTCTCGTTTTCGGACCATTCTCTGTAAACCCTAGAGATGGTGCGTGAAAATCCCAGTAGATCAGCAGTTTCTGAAACACTCAGAACAGCCCGTCTGGCACCAACAACCATGCCACATTCAAAGTCACTTAAATCACCTTTCTTTGATATTATGATGCTCGGTTTGAACTGCAGCAGATCCTCTTGAGGTCTACATGCCTAAATGCATCGAGTTGGTGCCATGGGATTGGCTGTTTAGAAATTTGCATTAACAACAAATTGGACAGGTGTACCTAATAAAGTGTATATATAAGAAATAAGAGTTGTTCCTGAAAAACATATTTAATACAAAAAAATATTTAATACAAAAAAGAATTCCTTTGTTTTTCATCCTTTGGACAATTTAAAAAAAATTACCTAATTATTTTGTCTGCAATTGTAATGTTTCAAATGTAATTTATTTCTATTGCCATCATTATGGCTGTTTTCAGTGTCACCTGATCATTTAAAAATTTATAGAAGCTTTTTTACTTTTTCTCATGAATTAAACTTTGTAAACCTTTTCAATCTCAAGAGTAATTTTAATTCATTTAAACATTTGAATATTAACCTTAATAATATTTGTTTGCTGTAGTACTACACATTTTCTTTGTGTGAGTTTAAATAGTTTTGATGAATGAACATTTCATTGAATAAACTCATCTGGTTAAGCGTGTGTTTTTGCCGTTGTTGCAGGATTGTGTTCAGGCTATAGAAGATTTCTTCAATGAAAAGCTCTTCATAATTGGATATGTTGGCATTGGCATCGCTGGAGTTATGGTAATGAAAATGTCTTTTAAAAAACATTTTTTGTAAAATGTTTGGCTTGAAAAGTTGCAGCTTTAAAGAAAATGTTCATTTTTACAGAAATGGTTATAATATCATTAATATTTAAAAATTAATATTAATATTAACATTATATTTTAGGTTTTTTGAGCTTTCAAATCAGTTATTTTATGCCAAATATAGTGTATATTGCCCCACACAAGTATCCAGGTAAAGTTAGATATAGTAAAGTAACATAATATTTGTCATTATCTCTGACATTGGCAGAAATTGATTGATCCTTTAACAAAACAGAGTTTTGGTTTATACATATTTGGATATAAAATGACCCTAATATGCTACATGACCATGGCAAAAAGGACCACAATGTGCTGCATGAATATGTCAAATTAACATATATGTCATAAAGATTGTAAAATAAAATTGCACGTCTCTTCCAGGTCAAAAAGGGCTCCCAGTGCATATGTAAAAGTGCATCCAATAGTTGTTAACGCAGAATGAAGTGTGTTTAAAGTAGGCATGGGCTGGTATAAGATTCGGACGGTATGATAACCTTGGATAAAAAATATCACAGTGTTGTGATTACTGCTCTAAAATAATTTGTTTTTAAATGTCTGGGCGAAAAACAAATGCTTTTTCCTTTTGAACAGAATATATTTTATTTTGTGAAGGATTTAAAATATTTTGGAGCAGTAAACATGTCAGGCTGGATAATGAAAATAAATCATTGACTTCTGCTGTCTTCATTAGTTTCACAAGCACAGATTTCTTCACAATTTAAGATGGCCTCTTTGGATATATTTTCTGCTGGAAATACTATTGTCTTAAAAAAAAGTAACATTGCACATACCTTTGGAACTGTATTACAGAAAATTTTGGCAGTTTTAAAACCTTGACTATCCAAACCACAGTCTACCTTGAAAACGGTTATCGACCCATGCCTAGTTTGAAGGGCTTTATTCTGCAAAAACAGCCGCCCTGCATGTACTTATCCTGCTTATTACACAGGTCTTGCCACAAAACATAATTATTAGACGTTGTTTTGGGCCTAATATTTATGAAATATTTTATTAAACGCAAAGCTGACAGAAACAGAAGTGAAGCTGAAGCGGCACATTCAGCCACAAGATGGCGTTAAACAGTCACAAACGCAAAGCTGACAGAAACGAAACTGGTGGAATAAGGCACATACTAATTTACAGATTATTCAGTCACAAGATGGCGCCAAACAAGCAGATACATGTGATTGTAGATGCAAGTATGGATTTAAACGTATTTGCTTATGTCTGGAGGACACCAGAGTCAAACAGATTAGCTTTCCATGTAATGCACTCCTTTCCCAAATTTGTCACTTTCATGTGAGAAACGGCCCTGCGACAACTTTCCCACAAGGAAACACATCACAAAATAACTTTCCAGATTACAGTGAATATTCAATTATAACAAGATAATGTGAGTGTGGCTACAGCTAAGTGAATAGCAAGCTAGCTGTTCACAAACTAACTTAAACACTGAGAAGATAAACTACGACATATGACAAATACATTTACATGTTAAATACATTCAAAACACAAAGAATCAATCAATAAAGTACACAATTAAACCTAAAACAGTATCAAATATTCGTCTGCCTTGTGGAAACTCAAAATATAAAACAGCTCATTGAAAACAAGCACATCTACATGAATGGGATGAACATTTCTTAAATTAACATGGATGGCTCATATTATTTACAAAGTAACAGATTTTGCAAAGTGCTGTGACAAGCCTCCTTTACTTTCCTCAAGGAAACATAATATAAGAAGATATAACATCTTCCCTAGACATACAGTTGAAGTCAGAATTATTCGCCCCCCTGAATTTTTTTCCCCTTATTTCAGTTTAACGGAGAGATTTCTTTCCCCCAACACATTTCTAAACATTATAGTTTTAATAAATCATCTCTAATAACTGATATATTTTATCTTTGCCATGATGACAGTAAATAATATTTGACTAGATATTTTTCAAGACACTTCTATACAGCTTAAAGTGTCATTTAAAGGCTTAACTTGGTTAATAAGGTTAACTTGGCAGTTTAGAGTAATTAGGCAAGTTATTGTATAAAGATGGTTTGTTCTGTAGACTATTGAAAAAAATCCATCTTAAAGGGGCTAATAATTTTGTCCTTAAAATGGTGTTTAAAAAATAAAAATTGCTTTTATTCTAGCCAATATAAAACAAATAAGACTTTCTCCAGAAGAAAACATATTATCAGACATACTGTGAACATTTCCTTGCTCTGTTAAACATCAGTTGGGAAATATTTAACACTGTAAGACCTGACATTTCAAAAAAGAGTCGGAAAATTCAGATTTTCTGGTTCTGGGATGTTTATTAAACCATTAAGCAAAAAAAAAAAAATCAAAATTACCATATAATTTTTTTCATGACATTTATTTTGTATCCCATTTGATACATCAGGCAACTTTTTGCTCAAAACAAGAATGATTTTAATTTAAAAAAAATAATAATTTTGCCCTTATTTTATTAAACGCAAAGCTGACAGAAACAGAAGTGAAGCTGAAGCAGCACATTCAGCCACAAGATGGCGTTAACATCATGTACAACAGGTTTTTAAACAAAGTATTGATCAGGTTGATGTTATATAAGTCTTAGACACTCGTGTATCAAATATGATATGTGCGGCTTTATGGGGTTAAAAACGAAAAAAAAAATGTAACGGGTGTCTAATAATTCTGACTTCAACTGTATAACGCTTGTACTGCAGTAATGTTGGAGTGTTGATGAATGTGAACATGATGTGTGTGTGTGTGTGTGTGTGTGTGTGTGTGTGTGTGTGTTGTGCAGGTGATCGGCATGATCTTCAGCATGGTCTTATGCTGCGCTATCAGAAACAGCAGAGAGGTCATTTAGGACCGTCTGGTTTTCCCGCTCGCCCACTTGGACTGTTTCAGAGCCCATCCGGATCTCCCATAAGGCCGTGCGGCGTTCAGCATTCTGTCTCCGATCCTTTCTGTCTTTCTGTTCTTGCATTGAAGATCAGCTCCACTGCATGGACGCCTGCTGTAACCACATTAACCAGTACTTTAATTTCCTCTTCCATTATTTATTACTGAAGCAGCACACGGGGAACATTCCACACAGCGCAGTACTGTTCTTTAATTTAAACCTGATCTCTCTTAAAGGGACACTTCACCCAAAATAACTCAAAATGGCTTCCAATATGTAGATCACTTTTTTTAGTTTAAACAAATCAAGGATATAGGCCTGGAGTGCCCAAACCCGGTCCTGGATTGCCGGTGTGCTGCAAAGTTTAGTTTCAATTCCAATCAGACACGCATGAACTAGCTAATCAAGCTCTATCTAGAGCACAGGTGTCAAACTCAGTTCCAAAGGGCCGCAGCTCTGCAGTTTAGTTCCAACACTAATTAATCACACCTGATCAAACTAATTGAGTCCTTCAGGCTTGTATGAAACCTACAGGTAAGTGTGTTGGAGCAGGGTTGGAACTAAACTGTGCAGGGCTGCGGCCCTCCAAGAATTGAGTTTGACACCCCTGATCTAGACTTTCTAGAAACATCCTTATCGGTGTGTTGAGACAAGTTGGAGTTAAAATCTACTGGACACCGGCCCTCCAGGACCGAGTTTGGACACCCCCTGATAAAGGCCAAACAATATGAACACTTTCTTGACTGATTGTTTTTATTTTTAGCATTAAAGTGCCATTTTATGAAGACGGTTTACCCTAAAATCTTTTCTGTTCTACTAAAGATAAACCTCCATCTTGGCTAGTCTGTGGATAATGAAGTAAACTGCATTTTGAGGGAGGGTTTGCTCAATTTAGGGTTGAAATATGCCTTTAATATAGAGATTTTGTGTGTGTGTGTGTGTCCTGAGTCTTGAATTAGTTTCAGACTTTTATTGTTTGGACTTTTACTCACTGATGTAAATACGCTTTTCACTGATCGCCCGCTTCTCCTCTTCTTTTAATTATTTATTGAGTGAACTAGACCGTTTTCTGCGCTAATAGGTGATGATGGGTCATATGTTGATTGTGTTTCGCTGGTTATTAATAATTGGTTCTTGTAATTTTGCCTCATCATATATAGATACTGAATGAAGCCAAGGATTGAGCATGAGAAAGATGCCTCAAGTCCACATGAACTCAGAGTAAAACACTTGATTTTGTAAGTTTTGTGAATGTTTTTAATCAAAACGATGTTATTTATGATGTTGCAGATATCTAATCGGTGATTGGTTAATATTATTAAAGAAAAATATGGCCTACAAGACGTATAAATAGCCATTTAAGACATTGCAAAAAGTAATGATACATGTAGTAGGACTGCATGATATTAAAATAATCAAACAGTGCGATATTTTTGTTATTCTGCGTTTTATATTGTGATATGAATACAATTTCACTACATGAGCTGAATAAACATTTGAAAACAATTTCAAATTTAGATTGATTGGGATGATTCTGTATATGAGTGCATAAATTATAATAAACAATCTACAAGTTCAATAAAGAAAAAGAAACTAATTAAATAAACAGGGTTTTTATTGTTTTCTGAGGAGTGGAAATGTATTCAGGTGTACAGTAACTGAATAATCAGATGTAAAATAATACTGCATAGTCTTGATTTCAATTGGATCTTTTTTCTGATTGTATTTATAGACTTAATGCATGAAAATACTCACAACACATGCAAATACAGAAATGCACTGCAAATAGCAACGTGTCGGGAGACCCTTAAAAAAAAGGTAGAGATTGTCTGTTAGATTTGATGGAGATGCACTCCCACTGCAGAATCATCACAATTGAACATTATAAATTCTTTCCTAATAGAGATTCAGTCTGGTCAAGTTGTATTTATATCGCAAAATCAAAAAATATCACAATGTCAGATTTTACCAATATCATGCAGCCCTAACCGTAACAATTGCAGCGCTGAAAATAAAAAGCTGCTTATAGAAAACTGAATATTCAGACTTCAAAATATGTTGGTCCATCAAAAAAAAAAGAAAAGTTGATTCATTTTGACTCAAGCATCGCCCTTGTAATCTTTTTGTTTGGTGTGCAAATCGGGGACCTTGTTTATAAAATATTGTGCATAAACTGCAGTTCATGTGTGAAGCTTTGACTCAAGAGCGGCCAGACGAGGCTCCTGGGTAATGCGTGTTATTTTCCACAAGTGGCTGATTTTGCATCTGTAAAGTTGAAGCAGCAGTTTTATTACTGGGAGATCAAACATATCTTACACTGCTTTTCCCTTTTTATATTTTGCTTCTGTGAGTTTTGAGCAATGTTTGACCCACTAGTAGTCATGTGCCTTTATAACTGACAAAAGCCCCGTTATAAACATGTTTGCAGTTTTGGGTTCATGCTTATTTTTATAGCACCGCGTTGCATGTAAATAGCTTTGAAATGAGGAAATATGGTCAAACAATAAAACAGCTCACACAAACACATTTGATTGGTTTTTATTTTCGCAGTGTTGATTAATACCATTTCAGCAGAACAGGAATATTCATGAGTTAATGTTAATACTGTAGACAAATACACAGTCCGGGACCCTCAAACTGACAAGACTTTGCCCATCATGTACGTTTAAAGGTGCTGTATGTTCGTTTTTGACTCTTCTAATACTTAATATACTTATAAATACCATATGTTTGCAGGAATTTCAGAAACATGCTAACAGAACAGTCTTATTTTCTGAAAAACAATGCTGAGGTCAGATATTCTGCTTTGAAAATGTTTGTTACATGCTGTAACGGCTGTCTGTGTTTTGGTCTTATTAACCTCCCCCCTGTCAGTTTAGCCAATATTTCAGCACTCCAGGTTGCCTTGGTGGAAAGCTGTGCGTTTCATTCATTTACTTAGAAAGGCTCTCAAAGTATGCATTCATGACCGAAATGCAACCCCTGGGACACTATCACATGCCGTTACTTTTATTTTAAACATAATTTAAACAAGTCAGACTCGTTCCTGTTGGTGTCAACAATCTGGCAACCTGCACTTGCGTTAGTGGTTAAATTCGGTATTTCTGGATCAAAATAGAGTGTCAAACTTACATACTGCACCTTTAAGACAAACACATGACCTAAAAACTGAAAATATGACCCATGCTTTTGGTGGTTGAAAAATCCAGAAAGCTACAGTTGTAACATACTGGTCCATGTAATGGAAAATAATAATATCATGTCTTCAAAGTGACAAAATCTTGCATAAATACGATATGCATCAAATGCCTGTTTTCGGTAGTCATCAAAATAATCCTGAATTTTAGACTGCACCTCACACACTTTCACCCAAATCAGCTCTTTTTACAAACTCAAGAAAGAGAGAGTGTGTGTGTGTGCGCGCGCATGTGATAGTACCAAACAGAATAAAAGGTCAATGACATTCCCTAAAACTAGAGAGTTACAAACTCTGAAGGCTTTAAAAGCATTTCAAGTAACTCGATTCAAGTTTAGACACTGAAAACAGAGAAAGACTGACAAATACAGGAACTGAGTAGGAAAGAAGAGACAGTTCAATACAAAAAGAATTTGTACAAAGAGAACAGATGGAAAAGAGAGAGAAAAGGAAGAAGTCAGTGTCTTGACAGCGACACCGGTCTCCCTCACTGAGGGGAAACTTTCACATATGCTTATAGAAAAAACATAATCGTGTGTTAAAGCGCTCTCTCTCCTCCAGACACATGCCTTACCAACAAGTGCAAAATGCTGGCTCATCACGGCTCATCAGATAAGCCTGTAAACCATAGAGGAAGTGCGGTAAGGCTGGTTTAAAAACTCACAGGAACGCAAACCAGAGCAGAAGCTGCCGTTCTCTTGGCATCTCCTCCTCCGCCGCCATCTTGATTAATGTTTATCTTCTGTTGTGTAATGTACAGTCTCTTGCGCTCTGAGGTAGCGATGTGTGTTCAGTCAGAGATTAGCTTTAGCTGGGTCTGGCTTACGATAAACTCTCCCACGCCAAGGAAGTACATGACCTGCACGATGCCGAAGAGCGGCGCGATGACTAGCGCTCTGCAACCCGCACCCTTCAGGAAAGCAGACGGGCCTTCACGCCGCATGATCTTACTGCAGAAGTGAAGAAATAAAGGAAAACGTCATGCAGGGTAGATGATGCACTCACAGATCACAACTGGAGATCTGTTTAAAGGTAATATAACAGTAACAGGATTGATCAATCACCTGAAACAGTCAACGATGCCGCTGTAGGTATCCTCATTGGCTCCTTTGCTCAGAGACTGCAGTCTGGTCTTTACCACTGCACAGAAGCAACAATAGTGAGCATCAGGGCTCTTACAGCTTTTCCAGAGTCAAATTTAAGCATTATCAAGGTGCATTTTGAAACATTTAGCACTTTACAAGTGTGGTAAAATACATATTTGCATACATATTATATCAGATGCAAAGTATTTTAGGAATAAAGAAATAATTATAACAAAGTAAATAAAAAATTAATTAATTAATTAAATAAAAAAATAAATTAATAATTAAAAAATATTAATAAAAATCTGTAAAGATAAATAAATGAAAAAAAATAAAGATAAATAAAAAACTAAAGAAAATAAAAATAATAAATAATTTAAATAAAAATAAATTAAAAATAGATCAAAATAATACATAAAAGATCAATACAAAATAAAAAAAATTTAAACTAATAAAAATAAATTAATAAAAATAAAGAAATTAAAACAATAAGAATAAATAATGAATAAAAATAAATAATCTAAAATTACAATAATAATAATAATAAATAAAAAATATATGAAAAAATTATTAACAATAAAAAAAATTACAACTGAACAAACAAAAATAAATTAAATAAAAAATAAAATAAAAATACAAAATAAAGAAATTAAAACAAATAAAAATAATAAATTAATTATTTAATAATCATAAATAAAAATAAATTAATTAAAAACCTAAAGAACAATAATAATGAATACAAATATATATATAGAGAGAGAGAGAGAGAGAGAGAGATAGATAGATAGAGCCCCAATCTCATTATTAACATTCAAATACAGAAACTTTTTTTCTGCATCTTAAATAATTCATCTTATTTTATTTAAACTATTTTTTTAAAGAGTTAAATGAAGAAAGCTGACATTATTTCTTTGAATAAATTACACGTTAAAGCCAAACAAAACTTTTAAGTGGATGGGCACTTTAATTCACTGCTAATGAGCGAAATACGAAAGGTGTAGAAAAAAAAATCCTCTTACCATCACATGGATTGACAGCAACAGCAGCTGTTGAGCCTGCAACACATCCAGAGATGAAGGACCAATAAAATGGCGCCGCCTCATCAGGGGAGGGTTTGCCCAACTTGTTCAGATTTGCAAAGAGGGGGAAGTAGACGATCGAGAAAGGCACATCTCTAAAAGAGTGAAAAAAAAGACCACATGTTAATTTACACTGTCATTAGTGTGCATGTCGACATTTAGAGCAGAGATTTTAGCATGCATCACCTCAGCAGAGTTGCTCCGAGGCCTTTATAGAGCCCCTGAATGCCCTGAGTGTGCAGCAGCTCTCTAGCGATCTGGGTTGCAGATACAGCTCTGGCTGATGAATTGGGAACCACGTTGTATGAGCGGCACAGCACAGTGTTCGCAGCCAGTCTGGTAGGAGGAATGAGGCCTGGCTTTCTCTGCTGGGCAGCTGGGAATATAAAGGATCACAAAAGTTATTCTAGCGTAACTCAACACATCTCAGTGAGAACCGTAAAGGCTAAACACTACCACTATGAACAAAGCCAAGCTAAAAAGTGCTCATTTCAGAAGTGTGAATCAGCATGCCAAAAGAGAACTTTCTGGAAAAACAACTATTGTTCTGCTCAATTACATAATAGGGTGGTGTGGCTCTGCCTGTGATGTACAGTGGTCAACATTTGAAGAGGATCAAAAGATTTTCTAAACTATCCTAGGACATAACAGGTGTTGTGCAATCGTGTTAGACTATTTACATACACTTATCTTGATCTACTTCAAATGTTGACCGATACGTTCTAGTGGAACAGATTACAACAGAGACGTTACTCTGAGAAATAATGGGGTAATGTTGGTAATTACTGATAAAATATATCAATCCCACAATGAAGGGTTGTTTTGGACAAAAGGCACAAATTGATGTAAATGAAAGAATTTCTGCACTGATAAGAGAGTGAACCCACCGAGTCTCCCAGCATCCTGCAGTTGAATTTTCAGCATCTCCATTGGAGTAGTAACGATAACCTGGCACATGCCAGCAGCACATCCAGCCAACATCTCTTTAAATACATTCAGTCCTCTCCTGTAAAACAGCACAATGAAGATTTAGATGTTCTGCAGCCCTTTTAATGCTTCACCAAATGCAGTAGAAGCAAACGTACCCATTTCTAGAGAGGTGGCACCGGAAGAAGTCATTCGCTGCCAGTTTGATGGCCTTCTCAGGAGTGACCAGGGTAAGATTAACCGCAGCTCCTAAAAGACAAACAAACAGAGGGTTAAAGAAAACCACAACTGATCACAGATCAGCAGCAAACACATTCCCCACCACCATCAAACCAGATATAAATGTACAACATGACCTTATCAAATACCATTCAAACAGTAGGAAGACTAAAATACCACTAACGGACTGAAAAATAAGCAAAGCTTATAACAGAACTGTAAGATGATGATGATGATGATGGAGGGGGATTTTACATGATATGAAAACAAAAAACTAAATAACTAGTACATAACAGGTAGTACAGAAATAGGCAGAACATTGAGATGAATATAGTGAGACAAGTGAATGCAGGCACATTCCAGAAAAGGGCTGTGTAGTATGACAATATACTCAATTGAAGCATGGAGCGTGTCAAATTAAAGAGTTTGCAGAGCTGTTAGGGCAGCATTAAATTGGTCTACAATAAGAAAACAATCAGTCAGCAACGTCTTGAATGTGCCAACCATAGCATTAACAGAGCAGATAAACCAATGATGGTTTCAAATGTTGCTTAATTACATTTGTACTGCAACTTGAATAGTTTTTGTAACCGAAGAAGTGAAAATCGGTTGGTTTTTTTTACACTTACACCAGCCCTTTATATACAAGGTTGTTCAAATCGACTTTACTAAGTAAAGTTACTTTTCTGCAAATTATTTTGTGAAGCATTTTGCCTCATTACATTATCAAGAATAGGCACTGTAACACATATCGAAGACTTCAGAGGTAAAATATTTTCATACTGCCCAGTCCTAACTGAGACCATGTTATTTTAAGATATCACTGTCTTGAATTACAAACTGATCTTAAAAGACAGAACAGAAAATGAACGTAAAGTGATAGTGGAAAAATATTTAACCAAACATTCTAGATGTTAACAGAACATGGCAAGATGGGTTAGTACTGAATGAGACGAGAGCAAGGAGAGTGAAGAAAGTGGAAGATGAAAAACAAAATAGATGAGTCTATAAAAAAA